CCAGTGAGTTCAGGGAAGCTTGAAGATGTGCCTCCAGGTAGTGAGTTCTTGAAGTGCTGGGCAAAGAGGAAGTGAAATAAGTGTCTGTCGTGTACCTCGGTATGAACCTGAAGTGACGAGGAAGGTGGCCCCTTGCAACTCTCCCCTGAGCACCAATGGGGATGGAACAGCATGGCATGGCATGAGTGCCTGTTGGCTCTGGACATGTGGGAGGTGCTTCTGCGGTTGCCCAGGCAAGAGAACCTTTATGCATACATGGTAGACGTGTCCCATTGTATGAGACCTGTGGTCACAGGTTTACAGGATGCTTTTGGTTCTAATGGATGCAAACCTACCTGCAAACCCAAATGAAGCCCTTGTCAGCCTTAATCCAACTAGGATCACAACGTCACAATTTAAACTCATGCCCCATGTTCTGATCACGACCAAACCATTGTGAAAGCTTGATTAACCAATACCCTCTTATTAAATAATAAGTAAAGACAAATCCTCATTGGATGTTCTGCAATGAAAAGCTGATGGTGAACGGTCAGACAAAATGCTTAAAGTAGTATTAATCTCTCAAACTTTTTTCCAATAATGAATCCAGATTCATTGCCCAGCAAAGTATTTCTTTAGATTTTTGCCCAAGCACTTACAGTCATCATGTTTCCAACAGCTGGCTCCAACTCTGTCACCTCGGCTTCCCTAAACTTCCTGTCCAGTACAAGATCAGAAGAGACAAAGCAGTTTCTACCAGCTGTCCATCTACTAGCATGGAGAAGAGAGAAGGGAGGAAGGAGGAGCAGGGAGCAGCTTGTCTTGCTGTGCCTGTGTGTGTTTGTGGAGACACACACAGCTTACTAGCACACACAGGTGTGGCTCCATAGGACCCTGCAAGGGAAAGGAGGCACCCTAATGAAGGATATCAGGACCAGTGCTTAGGGAACCAGCTGCTTCTGTAGGAAGCTAAAACTTTTAAAGTGACGCTAAACTCAGGAGTGAAATCTTAAAGGAGAATTATGAGGCGGGTGATTTTCACTCAGCCTCATAATCTGAGCCGACCTGTGACAATGAAACTGTCACAGATTGGCTCAGTAGATCGGGAAGTGAGCGAACACGTAGCGTCGCTCGCTCACTTCTCGATCTTGCGATGACTGGCGAAACGGACGGGGGAGGGCAAAGATGGCTCTGCCTCTGGATAGGCAGAGCCAGCTGTCAATCCCGCAGCTGAGTGGATCCAGACAGTATTGTCGGGATCCGTCTCGGCTGCGGCATCTCAGTATACCGCGAGCTGTAGCTCATGGTATACTGAGCTTTGGATCACGGGAGAACGCTAGTTTGTGTTCTCCCATCACACTTAGGAGAACTATGGGGAAAAGCCCTAACCCCATAGTTCTCCTTTAAAACTGCACTCAACTACCCTATTAACAAAAATGTATCCTATTTGTGTATCACTCGGCTGTAGATCATCAAATCATCTCTGAATTCATGCTGACACTGTCCTTCCTTTTGGAGGGGGGCTACTTTTGTTCCCCGTGTGCTCACTCCTGTAATGGACTACAATCTCACATTTAGTTTAATAAATGCTTTTTAAAAAGAAATGAGAGAGTTGCAATATGTTGCCAGTAGTAATAGGCAAATGTGCTTGGGTTCGATCCGAGGGACATTCAGCGAACTTCTCATACAATTCACGAACCTTAACTCAAATCCTATAGAATGGGTGGCGACTCTTGAAAATCTATTTCGGCCATTTTTAAGACTAATAGGCAAGGCATTATCAAACAAAGGTCACATGGAGCTGGGTACTGCCCTGGAGGGAAATGTACCAATGCAAAAATACATTTAAATAGTGTACATACCATTCAGTGGTGAGCAGCTCTTTTAAAATGAATGAAAGTGCACAAATAAAGAAAAAAATAAATATCCTTTGGGGATGCCCTCAACATGCACATAAAGTGATGCACCTGTAGGATGTACTACAGCAAAAAAAAACCCATCTAAAGCTGGCCATACACCTTACAACCATCGCAAGACTTCTTTCTTGCGATGGTTGTAAGGTAATTAAAAAAACGTACGATCTGCCCATCTTGGACAGGCAGATCGTACTTGCGATCTTCCGATGACTGCAATGCTGACCAAAAGCCTTCGTACGATAATTGCAAGGTGTATGGGCTCCTTTAGGCCCCGTCCACACCAGGGCAGTTCGGTCGTGCGGATTTGTCAGCGCTGAACCGCCGACATGAACAACCCCATACATTCCTATGGTGACCGTTCATGCGATCACGTGGCTCTGCGAGATCCGAACCGCCTGCCGCCCAAACTGCTCCCTGAGCTATTTTTGTCACGCTGATCAGCGCAAATTCCATATAGATTTCAATGGAAACGCGCTGATCAGCACATGTTTGGGTGTTTTTTATTGCGTTTCAGCGCTTCAACGCGATTAAAAACGCCCAAAAAGCCTTTTTAAAATTTGAAACGCACCGCCCTGGTGTTAATGGGGCCTCAGAAAGAAAAAACAAAAGATTTGGGGCTAAATGACAGTTTCCTGCTTTGATTTTTCTTTTTTAATAAAAAAAAAAAGGTTTGCCCCCCCCCTAATACATACCAGACTAGGGATGAACCGATACTAGTACAAGTCCAAATGCGCCGATACTTATCCCGATACCGAAGCATCCTGTCAGAGGGAGATTTTCTCTGGCAGTGCTGCGAGGGAACATGGAGTCAGCTTCCCAGCCAAACAGGAAGCTGGACCGCGGGAAATGACTCGTGGTCTGGCTTCCTGATTGGCAGGGAAGCCGGCTCCATGCTGTTTGGCAGACTTGATGCTGATTGGCCGGCATCGAGGCGGCCAAACAGCATGGAGCCGGCTTCCCCGCCAATCAGGAAGCCGGGCGGCGGGTAATGACCTGCCTCCCTGATTGGCCGGGAAGGCAGCTCAATGCTGATTGCCTGCCAATCAGCATTAAGCTGACCAAACAGCATGGATCCGGCTTCCCGGACAATCAAGAAGCCGGGCAGAGGGTAATGACCCCCCTCATGGCTTTCTGATTGGCCGGAAAGCTGACTCTATGTTGATTGGCTAGGATGCTGGCTTCCCAGCCAATCAGCATCAAGCCGGTCAAACAGCATGGAGGCGGCTTCCCGGGCAATGAAGAAGCTGGGCAGCGGGTAATGACACACTGCCCAGTGATTGCCCGGAAAGCCAGCTCCATGCTACATGAAGTATCGCTAGCAGTACTCGATATTGGCGAGTACCAAAATATAAATATTGGTAGTCGTACTTGATACCGAAAAACCGGTATCGGGTCATCCCTATACCAGACCCATATGGATTTTAACCTATCAAAATGTTGAAGCTCCCTTTAAAGTGACATTAAACCCTCAGATTTTTTAACATAAAACAATACTGTAATGTGTGCCTTACTGTAATCCATGGTAGTTTCGATTCTCTTTGCTGCTCTACCTTTTAAATCCTCATGTTTTCTCATGCTTGGGGAGAACTTCCCTTTGCAGCTCAATGCCTCTTCCTGTAGTGCTGGCTCAGGCTACAAGCCTATACACAGACACTATGTATCCATACAAGGCAGTCTGCTGCAAAACAGAAGTTCTGCCCAGCATGAGAACAGATACAGATTTAAAAGGAAGAGCAGCAAAGAGCAGGGAAACAACCATGGATTACAGTAAGGCACACTTATACAGTTATGTTTTATAATAAAAAATCTGAGGGTTTAATGTCACTTTAAGAAAAGCTTAGCGAGACTTTTCAATTTTTTTTTTAACAACACAGAATGCACTTGCATTTCCATTACTAGTTAATGGCACCCCAAATGTGGCTGGGAAAACACGCGGGGCGAGAATACAGAACGCATGTCACAGATTTTACTACATGCACTACTTTCCAAAGTTTGGCGCATGTTCAGGAGCCCATTGAAATCAATGGGAACAAGCGCTAAAAATGCAGGAAACAAACGCCCATCAATGCACACAAACACGCATCACTGTGATAAGCGTTTGTGCAATGTGATGACATGAATGAGGACTTAAAAATGCCTGTGTCGCATGTTTACAGGCGTTTCTATTGAAGTCCATGGGGCCAAAAAGTAGAGAAATCTGCAGGAAAGTAGCTCATGTACTTTTTGTACTGACAGGGGACAGAATGCTCAGATGTAAACAGGGGCCAATGAAAACAAAGGAAATCCTCTGGACGTTGTAGAGCTTAGCCCTTAAGTACTATCCCATAGGCATGTGCGATTCGTTTCGTTCCGAATCGAAATTCGGACGAAATTTCGGAAATTTAACATATCCGAAATCATCCAAATCCGATAGAGGGGCACCGAAATGGAAATTTTAAAAACGAAACGAAAACCAAAATAAAAAAATGTCAGGCCAAAACTGATACCGAAAATGTTTTTTTTATTTTTTAAAATATTTTATTTTTTATAAACGTTTTAATTTTGTTATATTTATTAATTAATTTTAGTGGGCGGAGGATACAAGACCAGTCACCCTGCACAAAGAGAGAGCAGCAGTGACTGGTCTTTATTACAGGAAGTCCCTGCACAGAGGAAAGGCTTCACATTGGATTACTGAACAAATCTGGCACCAAGATTCAAGTAGGAATACATATTACTTATGTATATAGACAATATTAGATTATCCTGGAGCACAGCTTTAAGGACCAGAAATCTATGTCTCCCTAGACAGGTTGTTGAACATTATTCCAGTAGGTTCTAGAACAAGGCCTGACCACGGCACATGATTGACAACACCAATTCTGTGCTTTATCACAGCAAATGCAGTACTAGCCACGCCCCCTCTCCAGAACACTTTCCCAATGATCTTCTTCCTTGTTGCCAAGGGCAGCCGGGCGGTTTCCTGAATGCTGTGCAACGATTGGTCGTAGAATTCCGCGTACGTCATCACGTTGAGCTTTGCTTTTTTTGATTGGTGGAGGGAGCTCCCGCCGAGTGAGTACGTCGTGTGGAGGAGTGTCCGCCCCAGGGCTGGCGGCGGAGGTGACGCAGGGAGAGGGATGCTGGAGGAGGCTTTTTGTTATTGTTGTTGTTTCGCTTCTCCTGGCTCCTCCTCAGTTCGGTTTCCGCTGCTCTCAAGCTCCAGGGTCGCGCTGTCTCCGGGATGTGCCTGTGTTTAACATGGAGAACAAGCGTGTGGAGGTTCCCGTGGGGGTCCTGGACGACCTATGCAGGTGACATTGGGGGCGGAGAGCTCTGTTTTTCCTTGCAGTGGCAGGCGTTGGCAGCTAGAGCTTTGTGTTGGGGAACTACAGGTCTCAGAATTGTCTGGCTATTGGGAGTTGTAGTCCTGCTGAACAAGTTGGCTCCTATGTATTATCAGAGTCCTAAATGGACCCTGTCATCCTATTAAAGTGTCATTAAACCCTCCATGGAAGAATAAAACCATACATCTACAGCATAGGTTACATCATTCTTGTCCCCTGTCCCCTTTGTACTGTACCTCTGAAAGTCACTTCCACTCCTTTTTTATTTTTGGTGCTCCCAGAGCCACCCTGACGAGTATGCAGCTGTCTGGGACTGAATGTCGCTTGGTATCAAGCTCGAGGTACACATGCGCAGTCTGGGCAGCGCTCTGCTGCTATTTGGGCAGCGATCTTGTACCGCCCGGCCCGCGCATGTGCCTGAGCACAGTAGCCGATGCCCGCACATGTGCCTGAGCACAGTAGCCGAGGCCCGCGCATGTGCCTGAGCACAGTAGCCGAGGCCCGCGCATGTGCCTGAGCACAGTAGCCGAGGCCCGCGCATGTGCCTGAGCACAGTAGCCGAGGCCCGCGCATGTGCCTGAGCACAGTAGCCGAGGCCAGCCAATATTGCGCATGTGCCTGAACACGGGATCACAAGACCATTGGAGGTGACAGGTTCTCTTTAAGGTGACATTAGGGGGTCTATTAGGCCCCTAGTGTCACCTTTCTACAATAGCATAAGCTGGGGAATAACAGCTGCCTACTGAAGCAGCTGAATGTAAACCCAGCAGGCAGTGGATAAGAGCAATAGCCAGCCTGCTATTGGCTGTTTCAAAATTGCAATAGCCAATCAGCAGAGGACGACCTGAATGAGAAGTTTTTCCTTTGGCTCCTACTCTGCTGATTTACACCAGGCAGGGGGCGGGTGCAATAGCCAGCCTGCTATTGGCTACTGCAATTTAAAATAGCCAATAGCAGGCTGGCTATTGCCAGCTACTGGATGGGCAGTTGATCCGAAGCAAGGGCACCAGGAGCAGGCGGGGGCACAGCAGCTGACAGCAGTCTCCCTTTGATCCCCACTGCCACTGCTGATACAGATTGTGAGAGCAGCAGGGATGGAAGGGGACGCATGGTAAAGCATGCAGGGGTGGGGGGGGTGGAACAGGAGGAATAGAGCTAGTTTGGCGACGGAGGTGGAGGCCGGGGACAGTGCATGGGCTGACAAAAGCCCTGACACCAGGACGCAATTTCTAGTCCCCATAGCGACCTGGCGCCTGGGATTTGTTGAGCATTAAGGTTCTTTTTTCTTCAGCCCTGTGAAATGAATGAGAGACATCTTTCGGTTCCCCCTCATCCAGGCTGAAAAGAGCAGATGGAGGAATCCCACTTTCCAGCTATTGTATTCAACAGCTGCACCCGCATCAGAATACTCTTACAGTGACTGCATCTGATTGGCTCCAGTCACTGTTTGGCTGACATTTTTGTACCCAGCTTCTTCAACAAAAGTTGATTGAAAAAAATGTGTTTTTTTTCTGGTTGGTCTGGTTTCCTTGTGAACATTAAATACATACTTAATAAATTGATTGACTTTTGACCAAACAGGTCCGTGTATAAAGTGCTGCTTAATATCTTCCTACTATATAAATACAAGAACTAAACAATGTGTTTTCTTGTTGTGTAGATCCTTAAAAAAGTTGGACACTGATAACATTGGGTATGTGGAAAAGGGTGGGGGTTGTGATTAGGGATGCACTGATGCAGAGTATTTGGGTGAGTACTCGTACTCGCCAAAATGCTCCGATGCCTAGCCCGACACCTGAGCTTCAGGGAACAGAAAGCCGGGCAGCGAGTCATTACACACTGCCCGGCTTTCTGATTGGCCAGGCAGCCGACTCCATGCTCCCCAGTGACTTGGTCACGTGGGAGCATGGAACCGGCTCCGTGGCCAATCAAGAAGCTGGGCAGCATGGAGACGGCTTCCATGCTAATCGGAAAGCCGGGTGGCAAGTCTTTACACGCTTCCCGGCTAATTAGGAAGCCATGTGGCGAGTTATTACACGCTGCCTGGCTTCCATAATGGGCTTGGTATCGGTATTGGGTTGCGGCGAGTACCGGAAAAAAATATCGGTACTTGATACTGAAAAAACGGTATCAGTGCATCCCTAGTTGTTATAGGGCTTTTAGTGAATGACTATTTTATTATGTGTCTTTAGGATTCCACCATTGTTAAACTCCCGGATCTATTGGTACTAGTATTCTCTCCACTGGAGTCTCTGGAGTGTCCTCGCTTCTTCAGATTTTCTCTTTCTTCGTACGAGCCTTATTTCTTTATTGTTAGTGCATGGCCCCTTTCAATGAACCTGTCAAGCTAGAAACAATGGAACTTCCATTGCTGTCTTCTTTTTGAAGGTTCAAGCTCAAGGGCTGACAGTCTTACGCCATCTTCACTTCTTGGTGAGTTACTGATCTGAAATAGCCATAGCTACTTGATCCACACATGTAGTTATAAATTAAAAACTTTATTAACTCCATTCAATCAACTACAATCTGCTCTTTCCACCTGCAATCTTTCCACTGAAGCTGCCCTTTCTTTAGAGCTGTAAATACACTATATTGCCAAAACTATTGGGATGCCTGGCTTTACACGCACTTGAACTTTAATGGCATCCCAGTCTTAGTCCGTATGGCTCAATATTGAGTTGGCCCGGCCTTTGCAGATATAACCGCTTCAACTCTTCTGGGTAGGCTGTCCACAAGGTTTAGGAGTGTGTCTATGGGAATGTTTGACCATTCTTCCAGAAGCGCATTTGTGAGGTCAGGTACGGATGTTGGCCGAGAAGGCCGGGCTCGCAGTCTCCGCTCTAATTCATCCCAAAGGTGTTCTATCGGGTTGAGGTCAGGACTCTGTGCAGGCTGTTGTGGAAATTTTATTAGGATGTGTTTTTAGTGTACTGTAATATTTTGTCATTATGTCTCTCCGTGTCAGGGTTTGCTGCGTGACGCCCAATTGGAGCGTGACCCGGTTTAAATCCCCACGAAGAGTAAACCATTGAAGTAGATATCTTATGCGCGGCGGAGCAGTGTTTTCGTAGCTAGTGTGTGGACGCCAGGCTAGGGCCCCTGCGCGGTGCGCGGATTTATTGGTTTGGCGTGTATACAACTTGCTTTGAGGACATAGTATTATTTAAGATACATATCTGCCTTTATGAAAGGAACATGCGTTCATATTTCTGATGCGCCTGATCAGCACGCTGGAAATGGTATGGCATTGTCCCTGAACGTGAAAGTGGTAATTGGAGATGATATGTTATGTAGTGAGGAAGTGATGTTGGTTGTTGACATCACTTCCTGGTTGCTGGTTGTTGAAATCACTTCCTGTTTTAAATCACTTCCTGGTTTGCTGTGTGAGACATCACTTCCTGTCTGACATCACTTCCTGTTGGGAGCTATAAAAATAAACAAATACCTGTGCTGATTCTCTAAGAATGTCTCCTGTGTCCTAACTCTACATGACTCTGGAGGGGTACTTCCAGTCCTTGCACAAAAGAGCGTAATACAACTGTGCTTTTAAGCACGGGGGAAATTCTTTGTGTTTGACATACTTTGGCGCAGTTTAATGCGGCATGGATTCGTGCGTTGAACCAAGCGAATTTCCATAAAAAGACCAGTCAAGTTCCTCCACCCCAAACTCGCTCATCCATGTCTTTATGGACCTTACTTTGTGCACTGGAGCACAGTCATGTTGGAACAGGAAGGGGCCATCCCCAAACGGTTCCCACAAAGTTGGGAGCAGGAAATTTTCCAAAATGTCTTGGTATGCTGATACCTTTAAGAGTTCTCTTCACTGGAACTAAGGGGCCAAGCCCAACCCCTGAGAAACAACCCCACACCATAATCCTTGCTCCACCAAACTTGGCACAATGCAGTCAGGCAAGTACCGTTCTCCTGGCAACCGCCAAACCCAGACACATCCATCGGAATGCCAGACAGAGAAGCGTGATTCGTCACTCCAGAGAACACGTCTCGACTTCTCGGGTCCAGTGGTGGCGTGCTTTAAACCACTGCATCCGACGCTTTGCATTGCACTTGGTGATGTAAGGCTTGGATGCAGCTGCTCGGCCATGAAAACCCATTCCATGAAGCTCTCTATGCACTGTTGTGCCAATCTGAAGGCCACACGAAGTTTGGAGGTCTGTAGCTATTGACTCTGCAGACAGTTGGTGACCCGCTCTGTCATTTTACGTGGGCTACTTCGTGGCTAAGTTGCTGTTGTTCCCAGTTGCTTCCACTTTGTTACAATACCCCTAACAGTTGACCGTGGAATATTTAGTAGCAAGGAAATTTCATGGATGGACTTATTACTCAGTTGGCAACCTATCACAGTACCACGCTTGAATTCACCGAGCTCCTGAGAGAGACCCATTCTTTCACAAATGTTTGTAGAAGCAGTCTGCATGCCTAGGGGCTTGATTTTATACACCTGTGGCCATGGAGGGGATTGCAACACCTAAATCCAATGATTTGAAAGGGTGTCCCAATACTTTTGGCAATATAGTGTATCTACTCCTGCACCTTACTTCTTTTTTCCTTACTGAATGCTCTGCTTTTTAGGGTGTGTAATGAGAGAAGACAGCCTTCCCAAGATTAGTCTGTTGGCAGTCTGATTGGGGAATGTTGCTATGGCTTTCCAGATGCCCCTTGGCAAAGCCTGCTGAAGCTTGAAGGAAAGATAGATTGGCTGTGATGGATTTTCCTGGATGATTAGCAGTGGTTTCACTCTTCACATTGGGTGCCTGCAGACCTGCCTTCCTCATCCGCAGACACAAACATGCAAGTTTATCTTCTACAAATTTACATGATTATAAAGTGATAATTCCTAATAACCCTCATTCAGCATCTGGCTGTGGTTAAACAATGTATACATACAATGCTGGGTATGAAAGGACCTTTGCTCTTGCAGCCTTCCTCTTATTTTTCTGGGTGTAGAT